TTACAAAATGCATCCAACATCATCCAACTGCCATAGGTTATGGTCGAACCCTTCAGCAAGCTCCAAAAGAAAACATTGCCCCGTCCAAGCACAGTGGAAATAGAATCGCCCACTTTGTCAAATCCTCTTCCACGCCTCCACGCTCCCTCAGCTTCCGCGTCTCTTCCCGCAGCTGCTGCGCAGCTGTGAGCAGCGAGGCGGACGCTGTCTGTGCCGACGCCTCCGAAGGCATGGCCTCCGGCTCCAGCTGCGCCTGGGGCCACTTGGGCACTAGGTGGTCGTGATGTTCAGGTGGATGCACCAACGGATGGCATGTCAAAAAGTGAGGTGTTTGGAGCCCGGCGCACCTGAGGGCTCGGATCCTCGATCGCATCCAGCGCAGCCGACTCCGCCCGCTGCTGCGCTTCGTACTCTTCCACGCGCAAGGCGAACTCTTCGATCATCTCCTTGCAACACGTTCCGAACAGCATGGTGATGGTGTTTGTTTCTCTGTCCTGCGAAGCAACAGCACCGAGACCAGGGTCTCTATAAGCAAACGATGGCAAACGGCTCAATAGGACCTGGGGACCTAGTCATGAAGCTTTTCGACTTCTTGCAATGACTGTCAAGCCACTGGTCAGAAACAGCCAGGTGGAGAGTCTTTTGGTCCGGAAGGGCGTGAAACTGTTGGTGTTGTGCAAAACTGTTGGTGTTGTGCAGGTCTCTTCCGTACTCCCAACCTCATGGTGCACTGTTCCCCCAACCTGCTGGGTGGGCGGCATGCTCAGGCACGGCAGCCCGACCTCCTGTGCGGGTTCGCTTCGCAGGCGACTGACCCCCCCCCACAGGCGCCATGGTGAGCGGCTGGACTTCACCACGCGACCGCTCCGCCCCTGAGCCGCCTCAGCAAAGTCCACGATGAACGCCGCGGTGAGCGCCCGCTGCTGCCAGGGCGACGCGGCGCCGTCGCAGGGCACGGCCATCAGCCTGGGAGGAGAAGCGCGCCAGGAGATCCAGGCGCTCTGCGACACAGGTTCTCCACACAGAGGGAATCCCATGCAAAGGCCGCCTTGAAAGGCGATGGTGGGGGGTTTCTGGACTGTTCGAATCTAATGTTCGGATCTAGCGATGGACCGGCGTCAGGCTCTTCAGAGAGCCTCCTTGTGCGTCCATCCAAGGCGAGGTCTGTGGGCTTGGTGAAAAGTCGTGTGAACCCCGCGAATGTCAAACACAGCAATATCATCCAATGTCCATGAGCGCTCGTCACATCTTACTGGCACCTGCTTGACGGACTCTCATGCCGACTCATGCCCGAATCCGTTCCAATTCACCGCCCGTGTTCCTTCTGAACCAGCGCTGGACGCCTGCACCACATCCATTCCCACCCAGTTGGCCCAGGCACCTTCGGACGTCATCATTGTAAAGCCGCTGGGCGATGACCGGCAAGGGCGAATTCACATCCTGCGCTGCTTCCACCAGGTCTGACCACATGAAATGTTCCTTCACCTCTCCCAGTCGTCTTCGAACCCGGAGACGACGGGCCACGTGCAAAAACAACGATGTTCAAAGGCAAAGGATGGGGAGAAATCTCAATCAAATGGATCAGGACAACGAAATGTTGCCGTTATTCACCCTTCACCCACCAAAACCAGATTATTCAGTGGCGGAACATTTAGATATTTTAATATGGTGTGTCTGCTGGGCAACCCTGCCAGAAAATCAATTGTCCTCTACAAAACTCTGTCCACATGAGTCTTGAAAAGTTACCTTTTTCATCCATTTTGCGCTTCTTGTTCCTTCCCAGCACCTGACACGTCGTGGCTCCAAAAAAGGCAAAGCACTGGCAAAGCACCAAAGGATGGTCCCAACTTGCATTGGCTCATGTCACTCAACCTCATTCGATCGGGTCTCACATCCCCATCCGATCGCCGTCCCGGTGACCCGGCACCGCTCCATCCGCCTCGTAGCAGCAGTCGTCCTCCTCAATGCCCTCGGGCGCCGGCCGCGGGGGCCAGAGCTCCAAGCGCTGGAAGGCCGCCATCATCGCGTTGCGCACGCCTCTCGTCGACACCGCCCGCGGTGTTGATGGAGTCTGAGGGAAGGAAAGGGACGAGGGAAAGAGTCCGTAGGGCGCCAAGCGCGGTAGAAATGGTGGGACCACGCGGCGTGCGGTGGGAGGTTTGTTGCGAGAATGAGAGACTGGGAAGACTCAGGTGGTGGTGGTGGTGGTGGTGGTGGTGGTGGTGGTGGTGGTGGTCGTGGTGGTGGTGGTGGTGGTGGTGGTGGTGGTGGGTCTATGAGTCTATGAGTCTATTCTCATGTCCTAACCGTCCTAACCATCTTAATACACCTCGGATTGAAGAGGCAAATTGTGTCAGGAGTGAACCGAAAGCGCGCAAGGTTCCTTGGACTTGAGCTCGGCACCTTCTTCTAGGGTTGCTCGTCCAGTGGTCCAGTGATAACCCTGGAAACTCCTCTGGCATTCAAAATTCATCAAAAATCTGTACATTGCCCGCATCCAGATCAACATGGACCCCCCAAAACCATAACCCACTCGGTTGTAGAAGAAAGTTGTCTTCCACAGGTCGATTCTCACGGTCCACGTTGGCCTGCAGGGGATATCATATTCTATGATCAGAGGGCTTGGAAGCGAATGTGATTCAGACCCACTCCATGGGCGGAAAAGCCAAAACACTCACACCACACTGCCCCTGGAGATCTTCACGCGCCCAGTGCAGGCCTTCGACCATGACCACGCGAAAGGCTCGGTCCAACTCTTCCGTCAGCTGTGGGTCGCCGGCCAAGAGCCGCTCCGAGAAGACTTGCACCTTCGGCCGCATTTTCTTTTGGCGGCTGAGAGAGCGAACGAAAAAGAAGGCGGTCAAAAAGGAGCTCTTTCTTTCGGATGGAATGGACAACAAACCTTGGTAGGACAAGGTTCTCTTGCGAGCTGCTAGGTGTTCTTGTCTTTAAAATGGAAAGTGGTCCCATGTCAGCCGGAGACGAAGTAGACAAACATGGGAAAACCTCCCGGGTCAGCACCGGCCTGCGGCTCTGCCTGCACTTTGGCAGCCAAGCGAAGGCTCTTGTCTCGTGACGGCTGCCCCTGCACCACCGGAAGTTGAGTCGTGCCTTCAGACTCTCTCAGACTCATCTGGGCCACTGACTGGGTTCCTTCTTCTTGTTCCAATGCAATCAGCACGGGTGGAGTTGATCAATTGCTTGGTGGGCCGGCCGTATTTGCATGTGGAGTTCCAGAAGACGGAGGAAGGCCAACGATCTCGCATCTTCAGGATGGACCCGAGGTGTCTCAGTAGTCCAAAAACGCTGTCACCCATGACCATCTTCGCACCCATCCACGTCCATCCCAAGACTTCCAATGACTCAATTGACTCCACCTGCTATTCAGGATCCACCACTACCATGTATCTTGCCATCAATGTCTCGTCTTTGCGCGGGGGCACCCAGGACCGCCTCTGAGGGTGCCGGCAGCGGATGGCCAGGCCCAAAGGAGGCTAGCCGGAAGCGACAGCCGCTGAGCTGGGCGTAGGCCTGGCGAATCAGCGACATCTCCACGGAAGTGGTGGCCAGTTGTGGAACGCACTATGCCAGAGGAGTAAGAAGGGTCCCGTCACCTCGACCTTCAGACAATGGCCCCAAGGACAAAACACTCCCATATCACAGAAAATTGCTCTGACAAGCACTACTGAGGTCTGATTCTACCATGGAGTTGGAAACGAAGCCCAAGTAGCCTTGCGACTTGCGAGTTCCACCTCTTGGGAAGCGAGTAGGTTCGATGCGTTTCTCCCTCTCTCTCTCTCTCTCTCGCTTGTGCTCTGCGGCAGGGATGGGTGAACCTTCGAGACAGCTGGTTGAGGTTGAAGTTGAGCACGTGTCCTCCGTCCTCCCCACCGAACCACCAGGAAGCACCTCGCCTGGCTGGCCTCCAGGAGGGGCGCGAAGTGCCGGAAGCTGGTGGTGTCCAGGAAGATCCCTGAAAAAAACGATCACTCGATCGAAGAACATCACGGCCACCGACTGTCTGGTCTGCCACTGGGCACCACCTGCATAGATCCGAAGGCTCCACGCCGCTACACATCTCTTCACGGGGGAGCCTATATAGTGGTCCCCAAAGAAAAAGAAACGTTTTCCTATACATTTGAAAGGGATGTTACTTTTCTATCTGCTGTTTCATTCGTATTTAGGGTCTATATAGGCCAATCCTCCGAGCCCAACCCGACCTCGCCTGACTCGGACGCGGCCAAGTCCATGTCAGCACCCGCCATGACGGTCGGGCGGTCACGCGGCACTAACAGGGGCGGTCCGTGGATGTGGTGAAATGGTAGCCCGGGAGTGTTCGATAGGCTTGTCTTGTCCTGAAAATGTTGGAAAAACATCTGAGTTCTCCGGTCACCTCTGACTCTCATCCGGCTGCCCAATACTCTAAATCAACAGCAGCGTCTGTACAGCCCTCGCCGCCGTATTGAGCTCAGTGCGTCGGAGAAGGCCAAGTGAAAAAGTATGAAAAAGGGGTTCGCATGACTAAGCATGACTCGAGATGAGACGAAGCATCACTGAATCATACAGGATGGCTGCGACCTTTCGCATACAAGTATTGCAACTCTGAATGAACACTGGGGCACACTGTCATTTGCCTCGTCAGCCCCCGGAAGTGCAAACCACCCGAAGCCCCTGATGAAACTGCATGAGGGCCATCCCTCGGATTTGAGTTTGGTGGCAAGTAAAAACAAGTTTGGATACGGCAAAGGAGGGGCAAGACACGATGCCCGGGCTCACCCACCATAGACACAAGAGGGGAGTCTTCTTCAATGAGATCAGACTCTTCATTCATCAACCCCCCCATATGAAGATGATGTTCCAATTCGATCCGGGGGAGGGATTCTATACCTCCAGAGTCTACCTTGAGTCTCCGCTCCACCTCGTATCCACCATCCGCTCCACCGATCCACCACCCGGGCGGAACTCGCCGACCGATCCACCGAACCGCCAGGCGTCCCGACAGGTGCCCTCCTTGCCATTGAGCTCGGGCCTCGCGCTGCGCGCCGAGCCGGCATGAGGTGCCCAAACAACCTCCACAAGGCATCCAAAACGGTAAAACCTGGAGCAAGACCCATGCAGAATCCATCCCAAGTGGTGGATGAATATGGGTTTGTAGTGAATTGGGTGTAGGGAGGGCTCATACCCATGCAGCAGGCAAAGATTGAGATGCCAAGTAAGTGTGAGAAAACCATCACCTCACCATGGTCCGCAAGTAGGAATGCCATAGATATGGGATTGCCCTGGACCTTGATTCAATGATCAAGCCATCAAGCTCGCCTGATTTGGGGCAACCTCGAACTGCCTTGGGAAACATCAAAACGATTATTCGTAGTTCCAAAACCCGCATAGTGAAAGCCAATAGTTTGAGGACACCATGGAGTGGCAAAGCTCCCAATTCTCTGAAACCAATGCTGCTACGAACTACCAACCTGAAGCTCCGTACCCTAATCAGCCAAAGGGCTTGGCTTGCAGGCCGTGCAAGCGCACGCGAGCTCCTCGACCGAGCCTGACTTCAAAGCGGTGACGCTGGCTCAGCGTTCAGGGGGCCAACAACAAATGTGAACCTGGTCTGGTTGTCAGAGTGGATCCCTCGAACCAACCACTGGGCTTCAGCGAATGGACCGACCCTTCACATTGTCACCGTTAAAATAGGACGTGACACCAATCAACGGCGGGTTTGCTTCGGGCCGGCTGCCATGTCACCATGGGTTCACATCAGTGAGACCATCAAGTGCGTAGACTACGCACGATATATACACCATTTAGCGCCTGTATATCTGCAAACGTAATGAAAAAATATATTGATATACATATGGACAGAAAAGCGCTCTGTAATGATAAATGTACTTGTACAATCTTATATATTATATATATATATATGTAGAGTTAGGGCAGCTAGGGATTGCACCCCAAAATATCATCATTACATTAACAACTTGTGGCAATCAAATGTTATTGATATTTCGTTTTTGCAATCAAATGTTATGAATCCCCCTGAAGGTCCAATGGCATCCATCCTAACTGGTCCCAAGGGCATCTGCGGCCCCCCGCAGCATCGAGGCATGGGACCATGGTGGAAGCGGACGATTGGTTGGAGCCCGATATGTCAGAGCCCCTTTTCCTGGTGGAATCTGTGTGTGGCTTGCGGGCTGGAGCTCCAGCACCGGTTTGTCACCCAGAGTGTCTGACAAAGTTTTGCGTGGACATGTGGAGGTGCACAACGCATGGGTGCGGTGAAAGGTGTCCTGTTGGTGCACCTGTTCTCAAAAGTTCGGGACAGGTGGTTTGCAGTTCAGCTCAGCAATGATCCTTGGTCATAAAAACCTCCTGTTACAAAGGAAAGCTCTTGGGAAGATGAAGGAGCCTCCGAATGGGAAAGTGTTTGAATGTATCATAAGCCTCTAACGTGGTAGCATGCCAATAAACCAGTGATGGAAGGTGTGACATAGGAGGTTGGTTCATCATCTCGAACCACCTACCCACCCAAAAAAGACACAGTCACGTACTCAAACCAGTTTTCCACATGTTTTCCACTCTTGCGCTGTTTTAGAGCTAAACCCTCCTGGCATCTGAGGTGTCTAGACGCAGCTGCTGAGCCGATTTTGGCCGAGCGCGTGGTTCGACGATCCGTTCGAAGATCTGCTCCAATTGAAAGCAAGGACCCAAAACAAACAGCCTGGGCCTACGTCCTAAAGAAGGAACGGCTTTCTTCCCTTTTTAAAGGTTTAGCGTAGGGGCCAGCCTACGTCCCCATCACCCTACGTCCTTCCAGTTCCTGAGAATCAGAACTCCCATCTCTTTTTCGACCTCACACTCACACACGGACACATACCCTTCCATTCACACAGTAAGTAGAGCGTGTGAGCAATGGGATAGAACAGAACCTCATCAAGACACTCTCCAAGAACCAGACAACACCGTCCGTCTGTCGCAACCGCCAAGAGGGCCGGGGGGAGGGGTTTCCTCGGAAAATCATGGGATACCATGAGACTGACCAGCCGTAGAGGCAGAGATCTGAGAGACAAACCAGGGACAATGAATCAGAGACATGGACCTAATAAAGAAATATGGCAATGTCTGTCCAAGGACAACCATTGATGACGAAAGGGACGACTGATGAGCCAAAGCCCAAGGAAACCACACCTGGGGCTCTCGTTGCACCCCCTCGTTGCACCCCTGCCTTTTCTGGAAATTCTCTCGTCAGACACCTCCCTCGGAGGCTGGGAAGCGAAACTCGTCTTTCTCGCCCGGGTGCCGGGCCGGCTGCGGCCGGCTAGGTGGGACCACTGGAAACATGATTCTCGGTGGCGCCTTACAGAAGAGCCCCCCGATTGAAAGGTCTGGAAGGCCAACTCAAAGAAGGGATCCTCAAGTAAAATCGATGATTCAAATGCTTCCGGGAGGATTGATGATTGATCCAATGATTGAAAAAATTTCCCCAACCAGCCGGCGCCCTGCCAGCCTCATGGCGGCCGAAGCTGGCCCAACTCATTCCTGCTCCATCTCGCTTTGCAACTTCCAACCGCCACGACGTTGCCGCAACAGCATCTTGCCGCCTCAGTGGCGCCAAGCATCGTGTTCGGTCACGCGCGATGCTTGCCCCGCGGTCGATGCGGCCGACTGCGGAGCTATTTTGATCCACGGCGGGGGGTTCTCTCTTCTTCTGGGCCCTCGTCTACACCACAAAGAACAAGGAAAACATGCGAAAACTCTCCAAGGGGCGGCTGGCTTCCGGGATCTCGCGCACCGGGTCGCCATTGTCGAACTGGGAGTAGACGATGCCATTGGAGTAGTGGTGGTAGTTAATCCTCAGTCGAGTCTGTGGGCACGAACATGACCTAGCCAAAATTCCAACCTCCGACATACCCTCCGTTGGCCTGTGTCCGGCGGCAGCCCAACCCCCAGTCCACTGGTCGCTCCGTCCACCGCCCGATCTGCCGTCCAGGCGTCGTCTTCGCTCGAGCCCACCACTCCTGAAGAGTCCACGGCGGAAATCTCGGTCTTAGTAGTAACAAGTGCCACGCTAGTAGTAACAGGTGCCTTGCTAGTAGTAACAAAGAAGCTATTAGTATATTTCTGAAATAACTCTAATATAATTCTAATAGCTTATTGTTACTACTAGTAACAAGTGCCACGCTAGTAGTAACAGGTGCCTTGCTAGTAGTAACAAAGAAGCTATTAGTAAGTATATTTTAACTTAATTTCATTCTAATATAATTCCAATAGCTTATTGTTCCTACTAGTAACAAGTGCCACGCTAGTAGTGACAGGTGCCTTACTAGTAGTAACAAAGAAGCTACTAGTATATTTCAAATATAATTCTAAAATAATTCTAATAGCTTGTTGTTACTACTGGTAACAAGTGCCACGCTAGTAGTAACAGGTGCCTTCCTAGTAGTAACAAAGAAGCTATTAGTATATTTCTTTAAAAAAATCTTAAAGCTGATTGTTCCTACTAGTAACAAGTGCCACGCTAGTAGTAACAGGTGCCTTACTAGTAGTAACAAAGAAGCTATTAGTATATTGTTTCTAATAGCTTCTTGTTACTACTAGTAGGGCACTTGTTACTAGAAGCGATGCACTTGTTACTAGTAGCTTATTGTTCCTAATAGCTTCTTG